CTGATCTTCTGCTTATTTCCTTCCATTTTATAACAAAAATCATTTTTTATCCTTTTGAACTCACTAAACATACGAATTTTTTCTACTGTTTTTATACTTTTCTAGTGTATTTATGAATAATAAAAGATATTATAAACTTAAGCCACATCTATTCAAATGTACAAAAAGTTTTGCAATTTTTAATTTTTTAAACTAAATTTTTAACTTTTATCACTTATAAAATAAATTAATAATTTTATCTTAATCTTCCAAAATCTAGAATGGTGTAAAAATACTACTTTCCTCCAAAATTGATTTACAAAGTCAATTTTTTTTCAAGCAGTTTTATCTTATTCACTTAATTAGGATATCAGTTTGTAATTATATTCTAATGTGAATTTTGCAACTTTATAGATATTTTATTCTAGTTTCTAAATACATAAATTTTAATTATGACAAATTGAATTAATTATCAATAGAGAGGATTTAACCTTAACATTGAATGACCAAAAATGTTGACTTTGTAAATTAATTTGAGATGGCATAGGTAATAAAAAAAGAAAAAATTATACAAATATAACTACTTTAAACCCCACTAACAAAAACATGATTTCATGCCCTACCTTACTCCCATGTTGTACAACGTGTTCCTTAGCATTAGTCATTTTTTTGTAACTCCAAATAAGACAAATATTCAGGTCCGGCCAGGCCAGACCACTCCCCCCGTCCGGCCTCCTCCATTTGGGGGCCTTCCCGGTGGTAATTTTTGCTCAAATTTTTTGTGTAGGTTCCAAATTTCAGCCAAAAATTCAATCAGGAAGGTCGTCAAATGATTTTCCAGACCAGTTAACTTGCAAAAATCATTTGACGACCTTCCCAATTGAATTTTTGGCTGAAATTTGGTATGGATGAACTAGACTTGATGAGGAACCTACACAAAAAATTTGAGCAAAAAATACAACCGGGAAGGCCCCCAAATGGAGGAGGCCGGACGGGGCTCTGGTCAGGAAATTCCTGACCGGAACAGCACTCATATAACTCCTCCAAATAATATTGGTAATATTATTTTAAAAAACTCATAATAAAAACAATATTTAAAATGTACTTAACAAATTGGTAAATATGTTTTTTATGTGTAACTTAATGAGTTATTAATTTCAAAAAGTATTTTTGAGTATACTAATTTCAAAAGCTTGGCAAGTATAAAGAAAACTAAAATAATTATCGAAGTTTTAATGCATGAGATATATAATATACGTGGAATGCAAACATTTCAAAGACATTTAGGATGTTTTTAAATAAACTGGACAAAATAAGACTAGACTAACATAGATCAGGCTAAACAAGAACATATTTAAACAAGGGAATTTTACGCAAGCGGACCAAAAACCAAAAATAATATCACCTTTTTCAACTTTTAAAGTTTATTTTAAAAATAGACTAGTTAACTTTTCTTTTCATAAATGGACCAGTTATATAAAACAGTAAACACGCGTTTGAATCTTCGATTCTTGTAAGTGTGTGTGGGTTAGCAACTCAGCGTACGGATCACGGATGACGGATGTCACGGTCTAAGCAGTGCTTCATTGACAAATTAATAGAAAGTGCACCACTATTCATTTTTTTGTTCTTTAAAACTGTAAGTACATAACAAAATTTTAAAAAGAAGAGTAAAATAAAAATGGTGAAAATAGTAAGAAAAATACTAAAAGACTAACAAATAGAAAAACTCAAATAAAAAATTAAAAAATTCTCAAAACTAGAAACTGTTGAAAAATTTAAAATGGCTAAAAAGTGAGAAAATTTGTAAAGAATAATGGAAAGTCTTTTCTTTTAATGTATTCTTTTAGAAAATTCTTTATAAAAATTAAAAAGCAGAAAATTTTATAAAACATAAAAGCATGAAAGTATATATCTCGACAATAAAATCCGTGTAAAACAAAAATAAATCAAACATTGAAAAATTTAAAAATAGGAATCTTATTAATTCAATTTTTTAAAAATAGTTACAATATTTAACAATACTTATTACTCCGTAAATAATTTTGTTGTATGTTTTTATTACCTATTGTTTTTTTTGTTTCCTTTTGTTGATAAGTCTTAAATTTTTGTTTGTTATTGTTTATTTATGTTTCCTGTCATTGATTTATATTAATAAATCCAAATTTATCATTTTTGGTGAATAATAAATCTATACATGATTTTTTTTACTTCAAAAATAAAAAAATACCTAAATAAGCAACAAAAATCAAGATCAACAAAAAGCGACACCGTGCAACAGAAAATAACAAGAGGCAACAATGAGCAACATGATGCAACAAAAAGAAACAATAAGCAACAAAATGCAACAAAAAGTAATATGTGCAGTGCAACAAAAGGAAACAAGAAAACATCATCTCAAGTATCACAACAAATATATCATTGATACTATTATTTCAATTTACAACGTGTCCATTAAACTGTTATTATATATTTTGTATGGCTTTGTTATTCCCATTCCTTCTTCATTTTATGTATCTCAGCAGATAATTCTTTAGATTTCATCTGTCTTCATTTTCCACGGTGAAACTCACATTCTTATCATCATCTTCATGTAATTCTTTTTCTTTTATGCACCTGCAATGAGAAGGCAATCACCACGACATAATTCCAGAATCAATTATATTACAAGGAGCTTATACACATACAGATCATATACAACAATTAAAATGTATTCAAAATGGTGTGGCAACAAAATAATAAAAAAGTATGAAGCGCTAGTTTAACAACCAATTTCGTACACAAGCATTATTTGTCAATGTCCTTATCTGGTCTAATAGTAAAGTGTTTCTGAAAGTGTATCTCAAGAAGGTCTCAAGTTTTTTTTTTTGCATTTTAAAATGTCCTAATTGATATGTAGTATCAGTTATCCACTCGGAGGCTCATACTCACTAGATAGTTATTGCAGACTTTAAAATTTGTCTCCTACAAAATTGGCAAGTTATTAATGAAATCAGAGTTTTTCTCATTCCACTCATCTAGGTAATTAAATAAATGACAAGTCCTTAAGGTCGTAAAGGGAGTAGAAAAATATAATAACCCCCATAACACTCCAGTTAGAAAACACAATAAAAAATGATTACACTTTGTACTATGTAGACTTGAAGGACATAGCTCCAGTGCATTGGCTGAGCTACAAAACTTCAATTTCAGCAAGTCTAGACCAGCTGAAACAAAGGTTCAGAAGACTGTCTAATTGTGTTACTCTTGTGCGGAGGAGCATCTAAAATTATGCGGTATTGAGGTAGATGATAAAGTGATTCACTATTACAATCGATGAATGGTGCATTCGGAGTTTTTCAATTTTAAATGATAAAATGAGGGGATGAGGCTCCTCCGTGTTTGAACAACTGTTCTCCAATATAATAGAAAGTTGAGGAACAAAATGAAATTTCTAGAATTTTCATCACAAATTGGGACTAATTGAACATTACTCACATGAGAGTGAGACATCATAATATACTGGAATCACTGGATTATGCAAATAATGAAGTGAAATTGCCTTGGGGAAACCAAAAGTGCTTCAATTTTATCTCCTCTAATCACTTTAAATCTTCCATTCCTTATAAAACAAAGATCCAAAAGTGCTTCAATTTTATCTCCTCTAATCACTTTAAATCTTCCATTCCTTATAAAACAAAGATTAGTGAAGCGTCCTGAAGCCATGATGTGTCTACTAAATTATAACAGTTCATGAAGCATGGAAATGCGAAGGTGAAAAGCACGATATGAAAATGAAATATATGATTTGATTTCATAACAACGTTTATCAATGACCTTACCACTGTAATCGACGGAATTCTAGAATTGCTAGGCAGACCATCGATCAACTTTCTCTTCTCTTTCACGACAGGGTAAGTATCAGGAGTGGACGCACCTCCCAATTACAACCGTCGGAGCTGCGATTAGAAATGGCGGATCCATCATTGCAACAAATAATCCGAGCTTGTCCTGTAAGTATTCAGTGATCTTTTGTGCGTCGGCCAGAGTGATGCTGGGGATTTCATATCTAAGCCGCACCTCCTTCTCGATTGTTTCTGCGGTGGGAGGATTGGAAAGAGTGTGGTGAGTAGGCGGTGGGGTTTTGGGGCTGAACGGAAACTAACCCTCGTTGCAAGGATGTTACGGTGAGAAGGTGAATGAATTTTGAGAAGGTTGGCAAAATTGGCTAAAAGTGAAATAAGAAAATCAAGTTGAAATTTTAAAAGTTAAAAATGAAAAGAAAACGTAATTGAGATATAAATGATATAAGGCATATGAAAGTCGACTTGTCTGGTAATTACCACTTTAAACAATAGTAAAATTGACATTCACCGGCCATATCTAACAAAACTTGACAGATAAAACTAAAATATATTTTTTATATGTAATGTTGATGAGATACGAATGATCAAAAAAATTATTCCCTCCGTTCCTAAATGAATGTCCCAATTTGACTTTTGCGGTCTCCTAGGTAGACATATGATCGTAATTTTCTATTAATATATACCTATAAAATCTATAATAAACTGACATTTGAATAATACATATTACAAAGAATCACATTAAATAATTTTTTAGGAATAAAATATTATTAATTTTGAGTAATTAACAGTCAAAGTTGAACAAGTTTGACTCAAAAAGTCAAACTTGGACATTCATTTAGGGACGGAGGGAGTATTTGTTATGATATATTTTTTTGTAAAGATGGGAGTACAAATGAAAAAAAAATATGATATTTTAGAAAAAAATCAATTCATTTGCACCGACCTATTATAATTATTTGTAGAGTTAATTTTGCAATTGAATAGTGTCTGTCACGTGTGAAGCTTCAAGCCTTCAAGGAGCAATTTAATCTTCAAGACTTCAATTCGATTAATGTTGTCTGATGTACAGATAGATCCGATCTCGGGTTAAAAACTAGAACTCTTCACACAATCACACCCCAAGATTCAGGAACCTTCGCAAGTTAGGAGACACTGAACCCAGATTCAACTCTATAACCACGGTTCATAATACTTTAATGGTGGGAATTCCAGCCTTAACAAGTATGTGTCCACCCATACTCTTAATACAATCTTAATGCAATTGATCAATTGAATTGACTGTTAATGCAATTGAACAAATTCACTGTTTTTTCTTCATTTATATCTGTATTCCTTAATTCCTTTCATACCCCCATTTCCAATACTTGGGGAAAAGGAAACAAATTTTGGCATTGAATTGACTGCAGTAATATTTCAATTCATAAAGAAAGGCTGACAGAAACGATCAACTATATGAATTGACCTGAACAACGGAGACACTACGTTACAACAAACAAACATAACCATCATGTGTCAGGAGGCCAGCCTCCTTGAGACTATTTTCTCATCTGAGTGAAGAGTTGAGATGCGGGTTTTGCAGCAACAGAACTGCCAAAATCTGAGAAGCCTCCGCCACCTTGTGGGTTGCTAAAACCTCCAAACATGCCACCACCTACATACACCACGGTCATTCGCAACACTGTTATCTTTTTTTTATTACATCAGAAAGGAAGATATCTTATTTCTACCTGTGGGCAAGGGTACAAAATCAGGGGGTGATGAAAATTACTGTACAACGCACAGAATAAGTTTTCTCCAACTGATCAAATATAACAGTTACTTGGCTCTGTTCGTTTCAAAGAAAATAACTAATGAAAATGTTTTCATGGAAAAATAGGTTGCTTTATGCCTTTATATGTACTAGTAATATTTAGTTAAATGTGAGCCAGATCTCTTGTACCACTGGCAGCACTCCTAAACTCGTCAAATTTCAATTCAATTTTAACATTGATTTTCATGTTTATTGTGAAAGCAGCCGCTTCATAAACTAACTAAACCTTTGTTCACTTGGGTTTTATTTTGGGAGGAAGGAGAGGGGGGATGAATGAGATGATCGATAAATTCATAGCTCTAGAAGAGGAAATCAGCCAGAAAGTCAATCAAGAAAAATGAAGAATCAATCAAAGAGATCAGATAAACTAGAATCCCTCAAATGGAAAGGAAGATTCTAGCAATAGATTATGCTAGACTATAAATTACCATTTACCTAGTTGGTGTTTGCATGCCTGTGTTAAGACAATAAACAATGGCCCCTCATATGAAAGAGGTACATTATTATTATCCTACATTATTATTTTCATATTTTCATACATGTAGACTAATTTATATTTAGCCTCCATAATAACTATATCAAACATGAAACCTTTGCATATTTTAAAAAATTAACATAGAGGTTTTCCTCTAAATATTACTGTATTAAAGGTGATTTCCAAAAAAGTGATCACTTAAATAGATTGGGATATCCATGATGTCATTGTCAGTTTTTATGTCACTGTTATTGACGACCAGTATCACTATTGCTGCCATCAGTGTCATAGATGTTGTGAAATGTGCCACAAATGTTTCCGGTGAATTTTTATGACGAAAATTTAAAAAAGGGAAAATAACTTTAAATAATACCAACTATCTTCCATGAACCAAGAATAATACATACTTTAGAAATAACTTTTAATAATGCCAAGTATTTGAATGTAAAACAAAAATAAAATGGAGTCACTTTTCTACAAGAAATTCAATCATTTAATACATTAAAAACTCTTATCAAACCATCAAATAAATGATATTTGGAAATACGGTAACTTATTTGATATTTTGATATTTGTTTTTGATGAGTTATATGACTGGCAATTAGTGAAAATTTGCAATATATCACTTTTGATGTATAATCAAATAGTCGGTATTATTTGAAGTTATTTTTCCCTAAAAAAGAGCAAAAAACTCGCAAAATTTTCCGGTGATTTTTCTTGGTGAAATTTTTCGACGACTTTTCCGGCACCGCCAGAAAAACTTTTAAAAAACCACATAAGCAACTTTTAACCAGAAGACTTATTTTTTACTGGCTAAGAGGCTTAATTGGGCATTTTTTGTGAGTTTGAGGGTTCAATTGATTGTATCTATAGTATGAGGATCTAATTGACTTTTTTGACATGGTAGAAGGGCTTATTTGACAGTTTTCCCAATTCTAAAATGGTTGTCCTATTTGAAATAGAGTATTGATTTGAGAAAAATTTCTAAACAAGACTAAGACAGCGAATACAAAAAGCACCATTCACATAATTTACTTTCTGGAGAACACTGTGTTGCAGATTAAGCTAGATCATAATCAATCATTCAACACTAAACGAAGAATACACAGATGAGAAATCACAATATACCTGAACCGGCCGTGGGAGTGGCACTGAACCCACTTGCAGTTGCAGCTGCGGCAAACCCACCAATCCCCGTGGCGGCAGAGGCAAATCCTCCACCCCCAGTGGCAGTGGCCGCAAATCCACGACCGGTTGAAGCCAAATTAGAAAAGCCACCACCGACAGCAGAGGCCCCACCAAACCCACCAACTCCAAAACTGCCAGCTGAGCTATTACTATTATTGCTTACAAAGCTAGTTCCAATACCAATGGCAGATGCAGAGCAACTTCCAGGCAGTCCACTTCCAAGCTGTCTTGACTGTCCGAAAGTACCAAGAACAGATCCCAATGCATTATTTCCACGTCCAATCTGAGATGGTTGACCAAATCCACTCCCAGTAGGGGTTTGACTCACACTACCAGAAGTAAATCCACCACTGGAAATGCTACTAAAGCTTGTTGGAGGCTGCAAAGGCTGTAGTGATGAGAAATTGAAAGATGCTGGTCTAAATAGTTCACCTGCAGGAGCAGTCATTAGGAAGGTAGAGCTTGCTTGAGTGGGGGCAATATTGTACGGCAATGAGGCACCAAATGGGTTTGGTTTTGCAATAGGTACATTATTAGGAACTCCTAATCCAAACCCAGCCAGGTTTCCTAATGTTTGTTCAGTTACCTGATTCACCTCGGGAGCTTCCTCTTCCATCTCATCCTCCTCAAAGACTGTACTGACAGTATCATCATTCTTCTCCCCTTTGGCAGTCTGGAAAGTTGCCGCTTTCTGTTTCTCATTCAGCCCCACACCTAAGGTAGAACTTGAGAAGCCAGATGTGATCGTCTGATTTGCAGATTGTATGTCTGATGAATGTTCATTCGTTGATTTTGATTGGGCCAAAATCCCAACTTGTGAGTTGGATGTAACATTTAGAATGGATTGTGGATTTCCAGAACTCATATCATCTTTTGTATCAACGTTTGATGTGGGGATTTGAGACGATGGTTCAGGGTTGTGTCTCTCACTCTCAGGAATAACAACTGATGGCCCCACATTCTGAGGATCCAAGATATGAAAAGACAAACTTCTTTGGGAAGCAACTAGCGATGACTGAGACAGTGAGGTTGATTGGTTGGAACCACAACTGGCTTTAGGAATGGACGTAAAGCCATCTGTTGTTGGTTCACCTGATGAAAAGTTATCTGATATTGATGGAAAACTAATTTTTTCAGGTGTAGGGGATGTAAATAATGGAGTTGTAGATGCTGATGTTTGTAAATTGACATTTGTGGAAGACGGGGAACTAATAGATGAAATAGGTATTGATGGAAAATCGAATTTAGCAGGAGGGAATGCAGAGTTCAAAGATTGAGCCAAAGTAGATACTAAGGTTTCAGTAGTTTGGCTTTTATGTTTAAAATTTCCTGAGATATTAAAGGCAGAAGCAGCACTACTTGCACCAGAGAAGGAAAATTCAGTAGTAGTGTTTAATTCCGAGTTCTGGATGTCAAGGGAAGGCTTCTTCAGTTTGGTTTCAGACTGCTGAGCGAGTTTTGATGGACCCGGTGCGGAATTCACAAGAAAAGGAGTGGTGCTGGTTGGACTTTCATCGTTTACTTTTCCACCTTTTTGAATACCTTGATCATGAGAGGTTGACTTGGGTTCAACCAGGGATGGCATTGAGGACTTTAGTGCTGATGAAAGTTTGCCTTCAGGTTTTTCACGGTCGTCGGCCCACAGGGTTGCACGAGCAGTACGTTTATCACATAATTCCACTGAGATTTCTGGAAATCCTGCATTTATAAAGTGATATTAATAATAAAAACTACTATTTCGGGAATTTTCCCATTATTTATATGTTTCTACAGTGTAAGGGCTGCGAAATCTATATGAATGTGACACCTGAGAATACTGATATAATGTACTTCATACTTTCCAATGCAATAGCAAACATTAAGAACACAATTTGTCTTTGCAAATTTTTCCAGTCCCTGATATCTTCCATTGCCTAAAAACCATTTTCATTGGTGTTTTCCTTCCTTTCACAACCATTCTCTGTGTACTAAGCATATCCTGCTATGTTTCAGAAACTATAGAGAATATATTTAAGTAAAGAATGGGGGCTAACCAGTGCTTTTGAGTTTCTGTTGAAAAGAGGTTGAAGATGCACTAGAGAAATTTGAGCCAGCAGAAGTTGATCTTTCATGTAACTGAGAACCAAACTGTTGTTTATAAGCTGACAAAGCTGAGCTACTAGCACTTTCCTTCTTGTGATCTTCTTGCAGGAGTATTCTTTTTATTGTTGTCTTTGGAGGCTCAAAAGAAGCCCAGTTCTACACACAGAGCAGCAAGGCTTATAAGGGTGAAAAATGCAGTGTGAGTGTCAGAATCAAAATAAGAACATAATTGTATTCAAGATTCTGTGTGAATATCAACATAGCGAGCTTATCTGCTCATGGGTGTAGATGCTAAATTTCAGTCGTCACTCATAAAAGCAGGAACATATGGAATAAACTAAAATGACTCACTAAACTGCATGCACTTCTTTGTTATGAAGCAGCAGTCAGTCCATGCAATTTTCATCATGGGTCATCCAGAAACAATCTCTCTAGACTTAGGTAGAGGGGTAAGGCTGCGTACATCCGACCCCCCTTATCCGCAGGAAGCTCAACAGAAGTGATAATAAAAAGGAAAAATTGAAAATAATAATCCCAACTATTGACGGTCAACCGATAATAATCCCAACTATTGATTATTTTTGTATAATCCCAACTATATGAACCGTCCGCCAATAATGGTCCATGATCAGATTTAACTCCTATAAAAAGTGAATTTTAACTATAAATTAAGTGTAAAAATTAAAAGTTGGTATTATTTATAGGCATTACTTGCTATATCTCTTCTCATCCACTTTAAAAACTACAAGAATTTATTCTTAGAGACTATTATTAGCGGAAGGTCCCTAAAGTTGGGATTATTCTGAAATAATCAATAGTTGGGATTGTTATAAGCAGACCGCCGATAGTTGGGATTATTACTATCAATTTTTCCTAATAAAAATTGCATGTTTGCTACATTGAATATCCTTACCAGCATCTTCTGCTCTCTTAACCATAATGATATGTAAAGCACCTTGAATTCCCGATCAATTAGGTCTTACGGTAACAATTATTGATAGATAAAAGCTAATCAGCAGTGTCATGCTTTCATTTAAAACCAAACAATGGCCTTGTTAGGAGAAAGAAGTTTGTTTTTTCAATTAATATTGAGAATGCTAGTGAACTGCCGTAAACCACAGTTAGACCGTGTAAAATTTTCAAGAACCACAGTTTAAGTAATTCGTCAGTTTGTTGATGGCCAAACCATTAAAGATACATTTAAGAAACGAAGCAGAAATGTGGGGAAAAAAGAAGTTTTGGGTAAAGGTCAATAGAAGTTCTTTATGACAGTGAGATGATGAACTGGCATAAACATTGTTACGTTGATTTTGTCATTTTGTGTACTTGAGGGAGTGTTTGCTAAAAATTAAAATCAGTGCTTTTCAGCTTTTGGCTTAAAAAAAATTGAAATGAGTGTTTTCAAATGACAACTTCTACTTAAATTAAACTCTTACAAGCTAAAAGCTGGAAGCAAATGGAAAGGTGCTTTAAACTAATTTTCACTTTTTCTATTACACAAAAAACACTTATTTTATTAAACACTACCAACTTTTACTTTTTCAGAATCACTGTTTTCTCAAACACTACCAACTTTTACTATTAAGCACTTTCTTCAAAATCACTATAAAAAAGCAATTTTTTTTAATGTAGAAGCAATCACAAACATTCCCTGAATATGCATTTCACTTCTCTTGTTTCTAAAGTATATCCATAATTTTGGGTTAAATTTTCATATTTTGAGAAATAAGTTCAATAACTTGAAGTGGAACCAATGCACATAAAAGTCAACATAGAGCATTCAAGAAATAATACAATTGGCTAATCGTCTGTTTATTCAATTACAATTTCTTTTTTTCATGCATCTGTTGGAATGGACCATTTGGTATACTATATATATACAAAGAAGCCTGTGAATTTGCTTAAAAGTTGGTTTGTTCTTGAGATTTAAGATTATTTGGTTAAATACGTCTTTAATCATTTTAAAATTATCATCATTACTATATTGAGAAGTTCATCGGATATTAGTATGGACCATATTGAATACTATTCATCAAAATCATCACATCATTTCCAAAAACAATATCCTTCACATAAAAAATACAAATAACATACTCTAATTTAGTTGCAACATGGTGAATTTTACACTATTCACATGCTCTAATTCAACTATATTTTATTTATTAAAGTATTATGAATTTAATTTTTGAAAACATATTATTAAAATCCTTTAGTTTTAAATTTTCAAAATCTGAAATTTTTATATTTTTACTTTTAAGGAATGAAATATATCAACGGTCAAACTTGTGCATTGGCAAATGTGAAAATGCAAACGTTGCAACTGAAACAGAACAGAAAAAATATTTCTATGCACGCTTTTATATTTATATGCATACTATACTCTCCTAAATATGTGTTCCTTCATTGGGGGAAAGGGAGGTTGTGGTAATAGTGAGACAGAGGCTGGAGACTCTTCAAAACAGTGATGGTAAATCAAATTTTGCATTATCAGTCATACTGAAGATGGACAAGAGGAAGTTACCCGGTCCAAAGAATCGCGACGTCTTCTTGCAGTTTCTGGTTCAGAACTCTTTGCAGTATTTGTTAGCTTTCTACGGGACTGCCCATTTGCAGCTAAAGAAACAGACCTTTCCCTGTTTAAAGGGGTACTCCATGCTATTTCCTTACCAGGAGAGCTATAGGTGTTGTCATCATAGGACATTCCAATTGTTTCAAACAATTCCTTTCTAACATTTTGCCTGCCTACAGAAGAGTCTATGTTCAAATCAGTCATCAGCTTTGAGAGATTTCCAGATAGCTGCTCTGCTGCTGTTAGTTGTGCATTCACTGCTCCTCTTAAGCTATGGAAGGAGTGTGCATTCCTGCGATGCAAAACAAAAACACTTAGGACACGTTGACTTCACGGGTTACTAAACGGTGCTTATTAAGACCTGCGTTAATAAGCGGCGCATAAAATAAGCAATGTTCTAAGATCGTGTTTACTTCAAAGGGTTTAAAACACCGCTTAACATTAAAATGTCCAAAATAACCCTATACATATATAGGCGCAAAAACATTCATGAACACAAGTATATAATATAATATGTGGGGTCACCTCGTACGTATACCCATATTCTAACCAAATTCCACACCCTTGATCCCTACCCTACCCTTACCACAATAGGGGGTGGGTGGGGGTAGGATGGCGGTAGGGGTGGGGTCGGGGTGAGGCTGAGTTAGGGGCATGTGGTGGGGGGGTTATGGTAGGGGTGGGGTAGGGTGGGTGGTAAGGTTCTAGGGGTGGGGTTGGTTGGGATTGGGGTCGGGCAAGTGGTAGGGAGTGGGGTAGGGTCGTGGTTAGTGGTTAGGGGTAAGGGTGGAGATGGGGTCGGGGTAAGGTAGGGCAGTGGTGGGTAGGGTATGATAAAGGTTGAGGTAGGGTCGGGGTAAGGTAGGGTAGGATTGGGGTTCGGGATAAGGTAGGGTAAGGGATGACAGTCAGTAGGGTGGGGTCGGGATCAGGGTGGGACCGAGGTAGGAGCAGGGTAGGAGGTGGGGTAGGGTGGGGTTGGGGTTGGGGTAAGGTAGGTAGGGGTTAGGGGTAGATGGCAATAGGGTGGGGTCGGGTAGGGGCCGAGGTAGGGGGTAGGGTAGGGTGGGTCGGGGTAAGGTAGGGTAAGGGGGGTGGCGGGATCGGGGTGGGGCCCGAGGCAGGGTAGGGGCATGTGGTAGGGGGTAGGGTGGGGTGGGGTCGGGTAAGGTAGGGTAGGGGCAGGGGTAGATGGCAATAGGGTGGGATCGGGGTGGGGCCGAGGTAGGGGTGGTTCGGGTCGAGGTTGTAGGGGTGGCGGTAGGATGGCAGTAGCTATGGATCGGGGTGGGGCCGAGGTGGGGGCATGTGGTAGGGGTTGAGTAGGGTCGTTGTAGGGGGTGGGGTAATGGTCGGGGGTAGGGGTAAGGTACGAGGATGGAGGTACTGGGTAGGTTGGGGTCGGGGTAGTAGGGTTGGGCGGGGTGGGGTAGCGGGTACAGGGGTAACAATAGGGTAAGGGCAAGGGGTAAATTCGGAAACTGGAAAAGCTTAAAGTGCCGCTTAATTAATACATGGGGGTTGTATGCTTAGTAAGAGGCACTTGAAGCACCTTTTTTGGTTAGTAAGCGGCTTTTTAAGCAGCATGTGTGTTTACTTCATCTGTCTTACTAACCTAACTTACTAACCTAATTGTGACTTTAGCAGCGAAATAAACACGTCCTTAATGCATACTACAACTACCTTTTATTTATTGTTTGTATTAAAGCATCAATTTAGCTCTACTTATAAGTGACACAATTCATTATTCAAAACTTAGTTCTAAAAATGGCATAGCACTGGCAACTAGATGGTATGCAGCATCAGGGGACAGCAACTTCGCCTTTGATAGACCAGCTGATTCTTTACTTCTTTAGCTATTTTCATTGCTAAAGAACACAGAATTGTCATTATACCATTAAAATTCAACTAGATATATAATATATTATTTCATTACAGCATATCTATAACTCCCTCTGCCTACAAAACTTGGCCATGTTTGACATACACACGGAATGATAAAGTAAAAACTGTGTGTTTGAGATCTACGTAGAGGAGAGAGAAGTAACTTTAACCACATATTAATTACTTTAAATGAAAACTTGCAAAGTTTTGTTGGACGGTAAATAAGGAATTTGGCAAAGTTTTGTGGGACGGAGGGAGTACTTAACAACAAAAAGTACAGTCTCTAAATAGTAAATGAACTAGTCCATTACAAAAATATCAAAAACTCGCCAATACACAAAATAATAAAATAAAGAACAATTAAAAATGTAAATTAAAACAGGCTACCACACAACTAGCGGCTAGCCACTTTTACAACATTGGGTTAAACCAAAACATACTCAAGTAACCAAATGAAGTAGTGCCAAAGCTATGATACTATACTGCCTTCTTTATATTGCCAGAAAATACCATCAAAATCAAAGATAGTATGAGCTGAGAATCAAATTAATCATCTAGTGGATGATTACGGGGATTAGGGGATATTAATAATCTTACCTTCCTGGTCCATGATTGCATTGTGAGCCTCTTAGATTCATTGTCATTCCTCCTTTTCCTTCTCCAAAAGCATTTATCTCAAGAATGTTGAAGTGTTTTTCCAATTCAATGAGCTGATTGGTTAGGACCTGAAATAGAAGAATGTAAAAGTTGACGAAAATTTCAAGGAAGGTTTTAGAAATATCATCCTGAAATTCAACCCATCATTACCTTTCTCATATCATTTATATGTACTTGTTTCAAGTAAAGTTCAGAACACAATTTCTGGCGACTCCACAAGTCCAAGTATCGGCTATCAGTGGCCTGCTTGAAAATGCCTTCCATGTATACTTTCTTGGCCAAAACTGGAAATTTTGTGAAATAAAAGTAATCTGAAAGCTCTGTAGATATCTATTTATCCGAAAACAGAAACACAAATAAAATCATCCTGGTTTATGCCTCCATGTTGGGATCCCTAGATGACATTTGCTTCAATTAATCTAAACTAGCTTAAATCTCAACCACTTTATTCATTTAATTTTGAATCCACATTGGCTTAAATCACTTAGCTTCATATAAACACGAATATATTGTATCACCAAGCAGAAATTTTAACCCACTGTAATTAAAACTAAGATACAATGTACTCCCTCCGTCCCATTTTGGTTGTCTTACTTTTCTTTTTGGGTTGTACCAAAATGAATGACATGTTTCCTTTTTGGCAAGAAATATGTGGTCCATATCATTTCACTTTATTCTACTCAAATCTCAACTAAAACTTTTAATTTTCAATTACTTTAATAATAATTGTGCCAAACTAAATAAGACAAATATGGGACAAAGGTAGTATATAATTATATATTAACAAATAACTTATTTAGCCGGAAACTAGCAATATTTTACTTGATCTGAGACTGGATTGTAACTTATTTCACCGGAAACTAGCAATATTAACAAATAACTTATTTTACCGGATACTAGCAAAACTAGTACTCCCTCTGTCCCATTTTATAAGATATCTTTACTATTCACTTGGTCAACACAAATCACTCTTGATCTCTTACTTTATATATCAAAATTTTATGAAATTTGAATTATTTTTTGCAGGTTTTGTAGCGTTTTAATGTAGTTTCTGAATTTCTGAATATGTATTTTTTTTTCTAAAAATAATTTGAGTGCAGACACGGATCCGTTTGCTTGATCGTCAATCAAACATCATAAACCGAAAAGTATCTTATAATTCGGGACGGAGGGAGTAATTTCTAACTGGATTGTAATTTCTTGATCTGGTATGGTCTGATCCGTTTAAGTTTAAGTATGGGCTAGTAGATGCATGTTCTATATGTATTTGACAAGTTACAACTCTCAAAGTTTGTCTGGTCTGGACTAGTCAATTTAACTACGGTCTAGCCTAATCTAAGACCGAAACTAGTCCAATTAAAAACATCCATAGTGTTATTCTGCTTGAAGCCCCAGGCCATGCTTTGCCAAGGGCCAGCCTGAGCCTAATAAAGTTAATGGCATGCCCTCCCACACGACACCTAATGAAATTGATGTTTTAAAATCAATAAGTAGGTGATTGCAACACAGAACACACTTGATCAGATTGCTTTTGATCAAAACTTCCAGTCATGAAAACTAATGTTCTTAAATCTTTGAAACATCCATTTACTGTGCCTAGAAGTCGAGATGCCTTTGAGCATTGCAACACAATTGCTCACAGTTGACACATTGCTGTTTGTTAAAATTTGTAGTCATAAAAATGTGAACTGATATTGTCATTTTTTATTGATCATGAACTCAACATTAGCCACACACAAATCGTCCCACATTAACCAAACCATATTCTAGATGTATGTTGAGTATTGCTACAATTGAACAAGCAAGTTTCACAAGCGATGGCATCACTAAGTCCCTACATTGTCCAGCATGGGACAGCCCACATAAATGAAAAAATAATTATCAATCAATGCTTTGTTGGGCATTTCACAAGGTCAAACTGCAAACGGCTTAAGAGCTTACCAATACTTATCCGTATATCCTTAAAGGATACTGCGGTAATGCCCTAGCACCATATGGATTTTTTTAGCAACACTTTGAGCAGCTTGGTAAGTGATAACAATGTGTTGTCAAAATTATAAAAGCAGTCATGGTTAGCATTTTGCATTTGGATAAGACTGATAAGTGTCCAATTCAAATTAATATTTTGCATCGTTCAGACCTAAAACGTTCTATCATTTCCAATGGAGCCAAAGACTAGCTATTTTTTGGATTGGGAATATGATGAAATAAAGCAAAATGGCTCAGTAAATTGTCTGCGCTTCTTTATTATGAAGCCACTCAGTCCATGCAATTTTCAATGTGATTCATCATGGGTCATCCGGAAACAATCTTAATGTGCTTTAGTACAGGGGTAAGGCCACATACATAAGAGTCCTATTAAGTAATTTTATTATTCTCAATAATAGGGTTTTAGGCCCTATAACTTAGTAGAAGTGGGCTGGCCCATTAGAAATAGAATAAATAAGGGTAAGGGGTGAGTAGATGGATAGGCAGAAGAAGGGATTGGGTATTGGGAGAGTGAGGCCTCTGGAAGAGTCTCAATTGTTTTTCCGATTTCTTTCCTATCAATCGACGCTATCTTCCATTTTCAGTACTTCATATCTACGCTATTTTCCTTTTCAAAGTTTTTCCTATCACGTAGGCGGGAACCTTTGGAGTACTGGGGTAATGTTGTTGTGGTTCAGGCCTAAAACAAAAAATCAATGACCATAAGTGATGGGGTTACCGAGTGCTTTTCTTTTTTAATTGTTCGCTTTAGGATTTCAGATCGTACGATCTCCCATCCTTCAGGCCTAAAGCAGCCTACTTCTCTCTCTGATCCCCAAAGAAAAGAAAAGATCGAAGGAACAAGAAAACTCAAGAGAATCAACAGAGCAACATTTACGCAAATACTGTTTGTTCTTGGCACAAGTGTCACCAACATTATTCAGCCAGTAAACAATCTATCAGCCAAAGCAATAAAGCTTAACTGTTATAACTTATAACTTAATATTAATTCATTATTAGAGTGTACCTTTTGCTGTCTTGTCAAAGAGGACCTGAATCTCACATTTCCGTTCATCCATTATTCCCTACAATTTGAAGATGATGAAATATTTGAGATTATAAACCACGATTTAAATGTAATTATCTATTTGCATAATGATCCACGCATTTCCTGTTATGCTGAAAGCCTGGAATGCCAAATTCGTCGAGAAATTCTACATAAAAGACTTACACACATTATCTTTTTCAGATGAAAGGCAACATCCCATGTAACAAATTAAACAAACTGCTCGTCTCCCAACTTGTTTCTTCCTTTTATTTTAATCAATGGTTTTAAAGGGGCAGAAGGCCAACAGCATAGACTATTAATGAGACAATCTCAGGAGTACACATGCTTGCAACGAAGGTCATATGTAATAATACATCACCACATTTGTCAAACAATTCGTCAATTAAAGCCTTAAAGGTATTGACTTCAACACTATTTCCTAACAACTTGAGAATATAGTGGATGAAACCACAGTGGCTCAATCATGGTTTTAAATTGCGTAAGAAGGTACTTCAAAATAAATGGGTATTCAGAATCAGAGATGAACTTGATGGGTTAAAACGGTACAAAGCTCATTTAGTGGTCAAAGTTTTCAGCAAAAAAAGGGAGTGGGTTATAATGAGACTTTTCTCCAGTGGTAACTATGACCCCACCAGATTGGTTCTAACTATTGTAGCTGCAGAGGGCTTACATCTAGAGCAGCTAGATGTTAAGACGACATTTCTACATGGAGATCTTGATAAGAATATCTACAAGGCACAGCCTGAGCGGTTTCAGGTTGTTGGTAAAGACTTATATGGTCTGAAACAAGCACCTAGTGAAGTTTGATAACTTCATGATAAGGACATGGTACAAAAGATGTGAGATGGACTGTTGCTGCTATGTGAAGAAAATCAAGGTTTCATATATCATTTTACTTCTCTATGTAAATGATATGTTGATAGCTAGTGCAGATATGAAAGAGAACATGTTAAAGAAACAAATGAAAGATTTGGGTCCAACCAAACAGATTTGGGTCCGACATTATCCCAGAAAAGTACATCGGAAAAGTGTGTGAGAAATCCAATATGAATGGCGAAACACACCTTTGGGAAGTCCATCAAGCTTACCAAAGATCAGTTTCTGAGAAGAGGTGAAGAGAAAGCAGATATGGCTAAAGTTCCCTTTGCATATGTAGTTGGTGGCCTCATGTATGCTATGGTGTGCATGAGATCGGATATTGCTCATGGGGGTTGCCAGTCGCTTCATGTCAAAACCGGTGAAAGAACATTGGGAAGCGGCTAAATAGATACTTAGGTATTTGAAGGGTACTTCAAAGATGGGGTTATGTTTCAGATGCAAAGACTTAATTCTCAGAGGGTATTCTGATGTTGATTTGGGTGGATGCAAAGAGACGTTTAAAAGAACTACGGGTACTTTTCACAGTGGAAGTTAGTTGGATGTCCAAACTTCAGAAAAGTGTGGCTCTTTCAACAACAGAAGCCGAGGGTATATGGCAGTTGCTGAAGCCAATAAAGAGCTTGTTTGATTGAGGAACTTCCTTAAAGAGTTAAACAAAAAGCAAGTGAATAATTACTCATTACACTGTGATAATGAGAGTTCAGTGAAACTAGCAAAGAGTCCAGTCTCTCATGAGAAACTATGAGCTTATAGAATATCTCAAGTGACTGTTTTGAAGCATTGATAGAGAGTAGAAAAATCAAGGTGCAGGAACGGGCTTGGTCCCACCTCCATATGCTGGTTATGGGCTAGGGTTATAGTTTTATTTATTATTATAAAGTTTATGTTATGTTTTCTAGTTTGAGCCTATTATTAGTAGAGTATTTAGTAGAGCTAGTATGGGCTTAATTAGGATTTATTTAATTTGGGCTCGATTACGGTTTCTCTTACAAGACTATTTATACCCCTTGCCAGGGTTCATTCTCGTTTATCTTGGAATAAAATTGGTTTTAGCCTTTTGTCTATGGGAAACAGCATTTTAACGTTGATTATCTGGGCAACGGTTTACCCTGTTGACCTGTTGATTTTTATTTTTCTGTTCTCAACAATTGGTCCGACCTGTCGGATCCCGTTCCCACCGGAATGACGAGATCAACCTGTGAACGTTTGTCAGAGGTGGAGGCCAAACTGGTTTTGATGAACCAAAAACTGGACGCGAGGGAGTGCGAAGCTAGACGCGCAAGGAATCCAACTTGCAGAGATCGCAACCTCCTTGGTTGCGCTCACGAAGGCTCTCGCGCCGCCAGCGGCGAAGGAGAATTCATCGGAGGTGGCTTCACTCGACGTGGCAGCAACATCCACGTTCGGAATAGGAGTGTGCAGCACTTCTCTCACGATGTTGCCCTCGTTTGACGAAGAAGACCCGATCGGCTGGGTTGTTAGGGCTGAGCATCAGTTCGAACTTAGAAGCTGTTCTCTTCACCTGATCTGAATGTTTCTGATCTGAATTTTTTAAGTTCTGATCTGATCTGATCTGAATTTTTCTGATCTGATCTGATCTGAATCTTTCTGATCTGATCTGAATCTTCCTGATCTGATCTGAATCTTTCTGATCTGATCTGAATCTTCCTGATCTGATCTGAATGTTCCTGATCTGATCTGAATGTTCCTGATCTGATCTGAATGTTCCTGATCTGATCTGAATGTTTCTGATCTCATCTGAATTTTTCTGATCTGATCTGATTTAAATATTTCTAAAATTATAATTACAATTATAATTACTATAATTATAAATGTAATTACACATATATAATTTAAATATAATTATAATTACAAACATAACTATAATAGGTATAATTATTATTATACGTATTACACTAGTTATAAATATAGCTATAATTATAATTGTAATTATATTTATAGTTATATTTATTTCTATAATTATAATTATAATTATAATTATAATATTTATTTCTATAATTTTAATTGTAATTACTCCGTATAATATGATAATAACGAAAACAAAACTAATAACAATAACAACAACCATATTAGTAGTAAGAATAATCATAATCATGATAATAATAAATATCATAATAATAATAATAATCATAGTAATCATAGTAGTAGTAGTAATAATAATAATAATACTAATAATAATAATAAAAATAATAATAATAACAATAATAATAATAAGAATAAGAATAATAATACTAATAATAATAATATCAATAATAATATTAATTATACTAATTACAATAACAACAACAAGAATAATAATTATAATTATTATAAATATTATTATAATTATTATTATTATAATAAAAAGGATAAATCATGTCTGGACTTTTCTGATCTGATCTGAATGTTCCTGATCTGATCTGAATCTTTCTGATCTGATCTGAAATTCTGAATGATTCTGATCTGATCTGAATCTTTCTGATTTGATCTGATCTGATCTGAATTTTTATGATCTGATCTGATTAAAATAAGAATAAGCAATAAGTAATAAGATTAAGACGAACAGAACAGCACCTTAGTTTTATCCATGTACCCGATCGGCTGGTTTTCTCCTGTAGCGAAGATTGCATCAGTTCGTTTGGTTTTATCCATGGCAGCAATGAGCCGCTGGTCATTGTTCCAATTGGATATAAAAAACGCATTCCTTCACGGAGATCTACACGATGAAGTTTATATGGAGCAACCACCTGGATTTGTTGCTCAGGGGGGAGTCTGGTATGGTGTGCAGATTACGTCGTTCATTATATGGCTTGAAGCAATCTCCGCGTGCATGGTTTGGGAGGTTTAGTGCCGGTGTCTGCAGCTTTGGCATGATTCACAGTAATGTTGATCATTCTATATTCTACAGACATTCTGCTGACAACAAATGTATTTATCTTGTTGTGTATGTTGATGACATTGTCATTACAGGTAGTGATGATCAAGGAATTGTGCTCCTCAAGCAACATCTCTTTAGCAAATTTCAAACAAAAGACTTGGGAAAGTTGAGATACTTCCTTGGCATTGAGGTCGCACAATCTCAAAATGGAATTGCTCTCTCACAAAGAAAGTATGCCGTGGATATTCATGAGGAAACAGGGTTGTAGATTACAGGCTAGTGGATACACCAATGGATCCGAACGTTAAACTCTCATCAGAACAAGAAGATCTTTTGCTCAACAAGGAAAAATATAGAAGACTCATCGGCAAATTGAATTATCTTACCATCACGAGACCAGATATTTCATTTGCGGGAAGTGTTCTTAGCCAGTTTCTTGATAAGCCATGTACTAGACATTGGGATGCAGCTATCCGAGTTTTGAGATACATCAAGAAAACTCCAGGGCAAGGATTGTTGTTTGAAGATCGAGGCCACCATGATATTGTGGGATATTGTGATGCAGACTGGGCCGGATGTCCGATGGATAGACGTTCCACTTCGGGATATTGCATCTTGATTGGTGGAAACTTAATTTCATGGAAAAGTAAGAACAGGATGTGGTTGCCAGATCTAATGCTGAAGCAGAATATCGTGCAATGGCCTTTGCCACATGTGAAAACTTATGGTTGAAGCATCTCCTCCAAGAGTTAAAATATGGAAACACAAAACCGGTTCAACTCATGTGTGATAATCAAGCTGCGATGCACATTGCATCAAATCCGGTATGTCATGAGAGGGTAAAACATATTGAAGTTGATTGTGATTTTATCCGAGAGAAGATCACGAGTGGACATATCATCACAAAATATGTGAACACAACTGACCAACTTGCAGATATTTTAACTAAGTCTCTTAGAGGTCCTAGAGTGGGATATATTTGTAACAAGCTTGGTACATATGACTTATATGCTCCAGCTTGAGGGGGAGTGTGGAAACCCTAGTAGTATTGGGCTTAGCCTATTTGTATATCTTGTATAGGAAACCCTACTACTCTAAATATAGCTATAAATATAGCTTCTTGTATAGCATTTGATCATCAAGTATATGAAATACAACAATACTTGTTCACAAGTATCAACCAAATGACGATTCTTGCGTTCAGCGACACCATTTTGTTGTGGTGTGTGAAACTTTGATAGAGCGACCAAACTGTGTTTGAATTTCATCACAAAAGTTTTGAAGTATTTGGAGAAATGCAAACCGTTCTTTCATTAAAAAATAACCATGTGTAACGAGAGTAGTCATCTATAAATATAACAAAGTAACAAAAACTTAGGTTAGATTTGACTCGATAAGGAACCCCAAACATCGGGGTATGAACTAAATCAAATGGGGATGTGGCATTATTGACTCTTCGTGGGTAAGACTGGCGGGGTTGTTTGACGAGATGGCACGATTCACAATTTAACGAGGGAAGACGAGATAAACTTGTTACCATTTTTTGGAGTTTTGAGAGGCTTGGATGACCTAAGCAATTATGTAAGGTAATCGCTGACTCAGCCGACACACAAGCAACAAAATCAGGAGGATGGAGATAATACAAGCCATGCAATTCATGCCCGACACCAATCACTTTCCCATTACTAGTCCTGAACAACTACAGAATCAGATGAAAAGGTTATAGAACAAGTGAGAGAGCGAGTAATCTTACTAATGGATACAAGATTAAAAGGATTGTTTGGAACATATAAGACATTTTCTAAAGGTAAGGATGATTGTGGAAGAGCCTCACTTATTCCCATGGCGGGAGTTTGATGTCCATTAGCGAGGGTAATTTGCAGTAAATGTGAGGGCTTAGATAAATTAGATAAAAGATAAGAATTACCAGAAACATGATCGGAAGCACCTGAATCAAGGATCCAAAGATTAGAACTGATTGAAACACAAGCTCTAGACACGCCTCTAGAAAGATTTAAATTCTTGAATTTTTGGTAATCCTCATATTCGTCGGGTGGAAGCACAACTGAAGATGGCCCAATATTGACTAATTTAGGAATGAAAATGGGCACAGCGGTCAAGGACAGAATATCAAGCTTGGTATTTCAGGCAATACAGTCCAGCGGCGGCGCACGGCGGCGGCGCATGGCGGCAGCGCGTGTGTTTTCAGACGACGGCAGAACGTCTTCAAAATTTTTGCAGAGGGTCGCCGGAGGATGGCAGTTCTTCTGGTCTTCTGGTACAGGATATGACGAAAACGGGGAGCAGCGGAGCAAGTAGATCTAAAGATGAGCAGCGAAGGGTTGTTTTACTCCCGGCAGCATGTGGCAGCGCGTTGGAGCTCCTGCGGCGACGAGATTCCTACCGGTGGTTCGCGACGGTGTTCTAAGGTGGTGGTAGGACTGGTTTTTAATACAGACTACCGGATAAGTCTCGGAAGTAACAGTCGCCGGAAAATGTCACCCATCGGAAATGTTCACTGAAAAACTACGCCTGAAAGTTTAAGAAAAAAACTAAAAACTACCTAATATATGGCTCTCATACCATGTGAAATATATAACTCACATTCTTATTCATGTTATGAAACATAACACCAATAGCTATATTTATAGCTATAGCTAGGGTACAATTAGGACAAACTACATAAAGTGGGCTGAGCCCAATAAGCTAGGGTTTCAACAGTAATAATGGTTAAAGTGTTATATTAAAGTCAATGAAAATTCTTCTTCTATAAAACAACTTTGTCATACTACGGCTGTTGGGCAAGTACCAAGGTTGTTAAAATCGTATTTTTAGATCGAATCAGAATAGGTATTTAAATTGAATCGGTTAATTGAACCGGAAATCGTAAATCGCCAAACACCAAAGCACTTTCCCCTCCCCTTCCACTACATAACCCCTCGCCAACTCAGCGCATAAAACAGGTTCAAGCCTGAGCGACTTGGGCTATCTTTGGCTAGCGCTTAACACAAGTCCATAAAATCGTAAAATTAGATAAAATCGAGATTTTTAATGATTTTTATATGATTTAAAAAACGATTAAGTATGGGTTCTTTTAATCCGATTTTTTGTACGATTCAAATCAGTTATGTACTTTAGAATCGTAAAATCATACGATTTTACAATTTAACTCGCGATCTTAACAACCTTGGCAAGTACAACAGTACGACTCCAGATAAGCTAGAATACATAAACAACAAGGTGAAAATAAAATTTAACGGGGTATGATTTTCGTGTGAAACTGTGACTTCAATTCTAAGCAATTAGTAAATTGGAGTAGAAAACAAGGAATATACTATATCTGTTCTTCTTACATAGTTGGAACGCTTTTGAATTTCATGCTTGCCAACGCACAACTTTGACCACTAATATATTTAATTGACCGTTAGTAAAAAAATATTAAAAAATAACATTTTAAAAATCACTTTGAGATTAACTTTATAATCATTTTATTATATACTTTTTAATACATTTATGAATAAAATGTAGTCAAAATAGAGTGTGTGAATAGCGTAAAAGTCAAAGTGTTGCAGCCATTAAAGAACGGATGAAATATTTTTTAAATGCACAAAACAAAAGCTTACTCTCCACATCTTGCACTTTTCAGATAGAGCCTGTATGCCCTCTTCTAAAGTCATAACTGAACTCTCCTGGCTAGTAATGCACGCATCTAAAAAACCCCCATCACCTTCTATCTCTTGTAGAAGGTCATCAAGTTCTCTAGTCATCTCTTCAGCCTGAGAGTGGTATGCACATCTATTAGAATGCATGTCCTACCCATATGTACATGATGCAAAGACTCATTACAATGCAAGAACGATAACATTAATGGATGTTACAAGTTTAATCATACATAGCAGTACGACATTATTTTTTTAGGAAATAACAAAGAGAACTGAAAGCAGATCGTCGTAGATAAGACACCTAAGCTAAGAGCAAGGAAGATGAAGTCAACAAATCATATAGGCGCTTCAGCAATGAAGGACATCATATCGTGATCTTTCTGTTTAAGAGATGCCAACTTGTGGGCAGCATCATATAGGCGCTGAATATCATTTGCAAAAATCTCTTGAAATTTCCTCCAAAAAGTCTTGCAAGTTTTGAAGGTTCTGAGAGTTCCTAAAATATTGGGTTCTACAAACTGCCATAATAGAGCACACAACTAGTAATCTAATTTTTTCCATTTTTTAGGTTCTCCCTTGATCTCACTTTCATCTTTTTCATGATGGTCATGGTACCTTTGTCCATGAAACCAATGTTCCACAGCAACTGACCAAGACATAAGAGCTCGATTGGTAGCACGAAAATCGGCTGATTTGGCTGGTTCTACTTAAATTTATGAAGTTCTAACTGAAGTGGCTGCATTGGCTGATTCTGCTGATTTAAGAAATAATTATTTTTAAAATATACTTTATTAATAAAATAAAGAAAAAATTATATGTAAAAATAGCTAAAATGATCATCTACCGTAACTTCAGCCAATACAGCCACAAAAGTAACACGAACCTTACTTTTTCTGCTTATTACTCAATTCAGCGCGCGAAAGCAAAAGTTACGTGTTTGGTGAAAAAGTTAGCCGATAAGACTGATAAGCCGAAAAACAATGTTGCCAAATGACCTCATAATTTTTCTTATTAAGCTTCTCTAGAGTGATAGAAGGAGATCCTGAGAAGAGTTGGGTTGGACTAGAAGCCATATGGAAACAACGATGTTAGGTCAGCGGAGATGAGCAGCGAAGGGCTGGATAGAGATGGCAGGAACCTTCTCTGATACCAACTTTAATAAAAAAAAAAAGAGTAACAAGGAAGAGAATAGTTTCGTGGTTGTGTGTCTGTCGACGACCCTAAACTCCTTTATTTATAAAATTATGAAGTGTACAAGTACATTAATGAGAGAAAGGGGATGAAAGGTCCAATGAGATGAAAGGTCAGTTCTATAGAATAATACAGAGGAGTCTATTTAGCTACTAATAAATCTAGATAAATCTAACAATCTTTATTATGCTCTTCTTTATCCTTTTATCCTTTTTATTTTATATATTTTCTTTGTATCCTCTTTATCTAGTCATTTTTATCTTTAACTTTATCTTACCCTTTTTATCATACCTTATCTCTTTATCTCTCTTATCTTTCTTTTCTTTTTTACTCTGATATCAAGTAGCGATTCATGTTAACCATTCCCAAAATCTTTTGGGACTAAGGCTTGGATGGTGTTGTTGTTGCTTGAATCAAATACTTCAATTTTGAATAGTAACAAAGCACATTATCTCCCCTTTGAAGAGTGATTGCCTTACTCTAGAAATTGATGGTATTTTTAAGGGTGGGCATATCCGTTTTCATGTCGGTTTTATAAGTTTCAGTTAGGTTCGGTTTGGAACAGGTTGGGAGAATTATTACCAAACAAAAACCATACTATTTTTTTGTTTGGTTCGGTTTGGATTTGTTATTTTTTTATAATATATGAATATTTTATTGAATTCCTTAGTTCGGTTCGGTTTTCTTCGGTTTTGGATCAGTTCAGTTTAATACGGTTAATAAGATATACTATCAAACTCAAACCAAATTGCATATGGTCCGATTTCGGTTCGGTTTAGTTCGATTTGATATGGTACAGTTCGGTTCGGTTAAATCAAACCAATATTATGCCCATCCCTAGTACAATTTTTAAGCATGTTATGCACGGAGTATTTCTTATTTTTCAAGTATCATTTATCAAAAAATTCTTAGATAGCTCTAGTACACCCTCAAAAGATGTGAATACTAATTATTTGAGAACCAATGAATTAAATTGAAGATATAGCAACTAGATTCAGAATATAAATAACAAAGTCTAGCTTTCCTGCATAGTTTAAACAGAAAATTGCCATGCAGCTTTCATGAAGTACAAGGAGCACAAAATTGTAAACAGCAAAATTTAGACGTCGAAGTACATTTATGCTATAACGAGATGTCCAAACTACCTGAGAAATGTATTACAGTGGATCATAGGTAACTTACATTGTGAAACTGCTTGGGCTGGATCCTCTCGGAAGAATTTCTTCTGGGTTGAGGCTTTGAGTACTTCTCCAATAAAACATTTTGCTGCAATGGAGATGATGACTTGATGCTCTGGGCCCAGGGCATGACCCTTTGCTTAGAATAATCAACTGAAGTTGTGTCAGACTGACTCCACAGTGAAGAGCTTTGAGGATGACCACCTGACAAAGGAAGCACAGTTATATCCGAATCATCTGCAACTTTCTGTTGAATGTTACCAAAGGTTTGTAAAGGAGATTTTTCATCACTTCTTAAGGTGCCAGTAAAAGATGCAGAATTGGAAAAGCCAGTTGACATTGTCCTCCCTTGCACTGCTATTGTAGGATCTGTCTGTATACTTTTGCCAAATGTTTGGCCGTAATTATTTGAGGATGTAGCAGGAACAGAACCTATACAATTTTTGGCTTCAATAGATGTATGCATTGCTTTCACACTTAAACTGTTAACTAGAGTTTCCGAGTTTGCAGGCTGAGAAGCATGTACTGATGGGTCATTCACATCTTCACCTTGTTTTACTTGAAGAGGCGACTGTAATCCACCCATGTCTAGACTTAGCTTCATAACAGAAGGTTTATGCTGATCCTCACTCACCAAGTTCAGGTGTGCGTTGGCAACCTGGTTTCGGGTCCCATAATCCTCTTTGGAAAGTAGAGATTGTTGAGTACTCTTTTCAAAAACTCCAGCAGCTTTTCTATCCGATTCACCTTTATCTAGTTTATTAGATTTCTGTCCCCCGTCTTCTACATCCTGTTTCTTAACTTCTGACAATGCCACTGCAGAAGTGTTATCTATTTCATCAGGGCATACAAAGACTGGCGATGTAGCTGAATCACCTGCAGCACTGCAGAGAATTTTCTCAAATTTTTGAGAAAAACATTCTATGCACAACATGATATACAATGAATTTGACACAAGTGGAGTACCTAGCGAAGCGAAAAATTGAAAGCCCTCCATCACTAGAAAGGCATAGACAAAGACAGCAGGGTGAAACCTCTTTTTCTTCATTGTCACCAAGCAACATCTTGAGTCCTTTCTGTTGGGAAACCTTGTCGATAGCAAGTCCCAAGACAAAAATATCATCTCCACTTTCTGAAACACCGTAAGATCATAATAATCCCATCAACGTTAAAAATTTAGTGTCAACTCATTTACTTCACAGTTAACAATAAATACGTGCAAAATCATAGTGACAGTGATTAAGTCAGAAAGTTTACACAGGGGGGGTAGCATCAATATTAACATCAAATACCATAAATCAATTCTAAAAACAAAACTTCAAACAAGTACAGAGAAAAGCATGACTGCTGGAACAGTGGGACTTGTAAGATTGCAGTTACTTGGGAAGGGAATTAAGAAAAATGGCTCGAATAGCACTTTGGCCATTTCCAAAGACATATATAGGACCACATATATTTTGGACAGAGATAGTGTGAAATATATGACTCACATTCTCGTATTACAACAATGGCTATATATATAACTACAATTAGAGTACAATTAGGACTAACTACATAAAGTGGGTTAAGCCCAATAAGCTAGGGTTAGGGTTCCAACACTCCCTCTCAAGCTCCAGCATATAAATCATATGCACCAAGCTTGTTACAAATGTATTCAATTCTAGGACCTCGAAGAGATTTTGTTAAAATGTCTGCAAGCTGATCAGTCGTGCTGACATAACTTGTGATGATTTGTCCTTTTAAAAACTTCTCTCGGATGAAGTGACAATCGAACTCAATATGTTTTATCCTCTCATAAAATAATGGGTTAGATGTGATGTGCATTGAAGCTTGGTTATCATACATCAACTGCACCGCTTTCATGCTTCTGTATCTCAACTCTAGAAGGAGATGCTTTAACCATTGATAAGAACCCGGCTAGTCTACTTGATAAGAATAAGTTTTATGGGCAAGTGTATTTTAGAAGGTCAAAGTAGACTAGTTAGTTATTAGTTATAGGGCTGTTATTACTAATAACTACCTTCCGTTTGTGGAAGGATATAAATAGAATAATTCCTGGCAGGCTGTAAACACTTTTTTTGGGACTGGGAAGTTGGAGTTCTATCTCCTTTTGGGACTGTGTGTACGGTTTACCTTGCTAATAAGAATTTCCTTTCATTGAGCTAGTATTCTTACTTTTCTGGTGATTGTTAGTATTGTGGATTGTTAATTGCTGTCTATGATCATTCTGATATCGCGAGGTATCTATCATTGGTATCAGAGCGTTCGAACGCTGGATGAGATACACGCGTGCGAAAATGTAAGGAAGAGTTAACGAAGTTGAGCGGAATCAGAGGGAAACGGAGGCGAGAACAGATAGGCATAGGCAGGAGATGCAGAATACCTTGCTGGAGAGAATGGCAGTGATGCAAGCATCGATGCAAGCTGACATCACGAAATTGCAGAACGATAGTTCCGGACGATCGAGAAGTCATTCGCATTGATCAGTACTTCGCATCGCTCAGCTCACTACAGACATGCGAAGGATGATGATAGTTCAGAAGGTTCAGATCATCAATCAAACCATACATCCTCTCAACATGATCGCGGTCATCCTCAAAGTCAAAGATATCATATTCACACTGGACGGAAATTTGATTTACCAATTTTCAATGGAGTGGATGCTTGTGGATGGTTGTTAAGAATGAACCGCTATTTCAGATTGAATAGAACGGAGGAAGAGGAGAAAATTGATGTCGCAGTGCTCGCTATGGAAGATCAAGCTCTCAGCTGGTTTCAATGGTGGGAGGGGCAAGCTACGCATCAAAACTGGGATTCTTTTACTCAAACGTTGACCAGATATGGTCAAGGATCCTCTGGGACCTTTATTCAGTCTGAAACAGAAAAGCACCATACAGGAGTATCGAGACAAGTTTGAAACTGCCATTGCATCACATGGACACTTGACTGAGGAGGTATTGAAAGGAGTGTTCCTTAAGGGACTTAAACGTGATGTAAGGGCTGAGTTGAAGCTGTATTCTACAAGAACTTTGGCTGAAGTAATGGATGTGGCTTCCTTAATTGAGAACAAAAATTCTGAAGCCTTGATAGTGAGAAATAAAGAAGAAGGAAAGAGGAAAGGGCAGAATAAAAGCAACAATCTGTCTTTTGGACAGAATTGGAGTGATGCTAATAGATGGAAAAGCCAACCTCACACACCTGCAGATGAGGGCAGACCTTCAGTGAATACAAAGATTACTGAGGAGAATTAGAATCAAAATTTCAGAAGGGAAGGACCTAGATTGTCCAAGGGCGAATTGTTGGAAAGAAGTAGAAAAGGACTATGTTTCAAATGTGGAGAAAATTGGGGAAAGGGACATATTTGCAAGATAAAAAACTACAAAATGATTGTGGTGGAGCAATCTGAGGGTGAACAGGAGTCAGAAGAGGAGTCAATGGGGTCTAAGGAAGATCACAACCCTATTTTAGAGCTGAAAACTATGCAGCTTTCAGTTCTAAGTAAAGAGGGAATACCTTCCATGAATACTTTTAAGGTGAGGGGACAAATGCAGTGGCCTGGAGGGAAACAATTAGTCAGCATTCTCATTGATTGTGGTGCTACACATAATTTTGTGTCCCAGAAGCTAATTGAAAGATGGCAAATTCCTTATTCTCCAATCCAGGGCTATAAGGTGCAAATTAGTAATGGTGATTGCATTTTTAATAGAGGCAGATGTAAGGAGTTGAAATTGAATGTGCAGGGGGGTGAAATTCAACAAACATATTATATATTGGATCTGGGAGACACAGATTTGGTGTTAGGGATGGAGTGGCTGACTGGATTAGGGGACATGGAAGTGAATTTTAAACTCAAAACCCTGAAATGGAGATAAATGGATCAAGAATTCATTTTAAAAGGAGACACAGCTCTGAATCAACTGGAAGTATCTTTCAAAACCATGGCTCACATATTGCAACAAACTGGGGATGGATTCTTATTGTGTTATGAAGGGTCTTATTGTGTTATGAAGGGCTAGAAACTGGCAAGATACAGGATGTGGAAAAGGAGGGAGACTGGGAGAAGCTGGTGGCTGAATTTCCAGAAGTTTTCACTGCTCAACTAAAAACTAAGGATTGTGATCATGCCATAAGAATCAAAGAAGGTGCTAACATACCAAATTTGAGGCCCTACAGGTATACTTTTGATATAAAAAAAATTGAGATAGAGAATATTATAGATAAACTAAGAGGTGCCAAAATCTACTCAAAACTGGATCTGAAGTTAGGCTATCATCAGATTCGTATGAAGAGCTGTGATATCCATAAAACGGCCTTCAGAACACATGCAGGACATTATGAGTATGTGGTCATGCCTTTTGGGTTGACCAATGCTCCTGCAACATTTCAAGCTCTTATGAATGAAGTCCTGAGACCTTATTTTAGAAGATTTGCTTTGGTATTCTTTGATGACATTTTAGTCTACAGTAAAACTAAAATAGATCATAAAGAACATTTGAAAAAGGTGTTGGAAGCATTAAAGGAATCTGGTGGCCAATAGAAAGAGGGCATATCATATCTGAAGAGGGGGTAGCTGCTGACCTAGCAAAATAGAAGCAATGAAGCAATGGAGTTGAAAATTACAGCCATATTGCTGCTCCATTAACAGCTTTACTAAAGAAAGATGGGTTTAAATGGAATGAGAGGGCCAAGCAAGCTTTTGAGGAGTTGAAGGTTGCTATGACTACTGTACCAGTCCTCAGAGTTCCAGATTTTAGTAAGGTTTTTGTGGTTGAGACTGATGCTTCAGGAAGGGGTTTAGGGGCAGTTCTCGTGCAGGAAGGAGGTCCAATTGCCTACATGAGCAAGGAATTATCTCCCAGGCATATATCAAAATCAGTTTATGAGAAGGAGCTTATGGCAACTGTCTTTGCCATACACAAATGGAGGCCTTACCTGTTGGGGAGAAGCTTTGAGGTCCATACTGACCAACGAAGTTTGAAATATTTGACTGAACAAACTGTGATGGGAGAAGATCAGCAAAAGTGGATAGCTAAACTGATGGGGTACAATTTTACCATTAAGTATAAACCAGGGATTGAAAATAAAGCAGCCGATGCCCTCTCTAAAAAATCTACCTATGCTGCCTTATCTTCAGTGATCTGCCAGGAATGGGATGGGTTGGGAGAAGAACTGGAGAAGGATCCTAAATGGATGGAGGTGATTCAGAGGGTGATGACTCAGCCAGATCAGTGCCAAGATTACAAAAGAAAGCGTGGATTACTATATTATAAAGGAAGGATGGTGTTGCCAAAAGAGTCCCCCAGGATACTTACCGTGAAAGTATTATTATACCTAGGAATATGCTTTAGGAATATACTCTAGACATTATTATTGTATAGCATCTTATATAGGAATATTCCGTCATCTTTGTAATATATATAGGGTCTTAACCCTCCAATGAATATACAGAAAATCTTTCCTCCGCTCTTCAATAATATTCTAGTTTATATTTCAACATGGTATCAGAGACTTCCATTCCAGTTTAGTTTTCTTTTCAGATTTCAGTTTAGTTTGTTATCTTAGTTTAGTTTTCAGACTGTGTTCTTTCTCCTAGAAATAGATTTCAGTCCAAAATCTTCAGAACCTCGAGGCAGCACTCTGTCTCCAAGAACCTCCTACTCTTCCCAGAACCTCTTCCCAGAAACTTTTCCCAGAACCTCTTCCCAGAACCTGTATCCAAATTCTTTCTTTAGGAATTTCAGTTTTTCAGATTCTTAAGAACCTTTCAGAACCTTGGTACAGTCCAGACAAAAAGAAAAAAAAATCAGAACCTTAGTCCCAAACTCAGAACCTTCGTCCAAAATTCACAATAGAACCTCCAATCGAAGCAGGCATCCCTTCAGTCGCCGACCAAATACTCGAAATCCACAAGGCAAAATCGACGCGCTTTCAATACACTCGCCACCAGAAGTTCTCGCAGACGCCGCACACGCCGGTGCGTGATGCCTTGTTTCTGGCCGGAGATTTGATCGGAACTATTTGAAAATCCTCTACCAGCTCCTTCGTCTGGTTGTTCGCATCTGGGGTCTCGCATATCTGTGGAATCTGCTCCGTCTTGTTGGTCGTGCTGGGGTCTTGGGATGTTTCCGCTCT